AAATGCCCTACCCCCCAAAACTCCTGTGGTGTCGGCTTGGTCCCCAGATGATGACACTATTGGGAGTGGGTAGAAACTTTAAGGGTACAGCCTGGTTGGAGGATATATGTTATTGGGGGTGTGCCCTAAAATTGGGCTTTGATACCCACATATGTTGGGAGCCCATCCCTTTCCTTTGTTTGCTCCCTGGGTGCCATGAGATAAACAGCTTCCCTCCATCATGTGTTTGCGCCATGATGTTTTTACCTCACCACAGTCCTAAAAGCAACCAAGTGAAGTGACCACGGATGGACACCTCTGAATTTATGAACCAAACTAAACCTTTTCTCCCTTGTTGATTTTTCTCCAGCATTTTCTTATGATGAAAATGCCAGTACAGGACTATGTACAAAATACTAATCGGAAAAACTTTGCAGAAAAAAGTATATTTACACTAGATATAGAGGGTGAACAGTTTTCCAAGTGGAGATGAACATATGTATGATGTAAAAGTGTCACTTAATAGAGGCACAGGGATATCTACCCACAGCTGATAGGAGGAGTAAAAGATGACTTAGTTCAATTAGACCCTTTAGGGCCCTGTGCTGTGCCTTATGTTAAGGATTAAGAACTTGATCCTGCAGGGAACAGAAGTATCTTTACTGATCTTGGATCCTGGGCAGGAGAAGGTCCACTTCTCCTCAGGTTATTTTTCTCACCCTTGTTTGATTTTTCAACTTTCCTAGTCCAACCATTATGTATTTTTCACTGATTCCAGCAATTAGTTTTAGAATAATAGTTTTCAAAAATATTCTTTGACTAGTGTGTCACCACCATGTAATACCAAATATGTCCTTAAAAATTAGAGGTGGCTGTTCCTAAGTATTCTGTGGTGGATAGCTGCCTGGCAAGTATTCTTGGCTCCCTCCCTCCCTCCTTGAACATGCCTTCTGCTGGGGGCGGGGAGGGGCCTTGCACCCATCCTCAGTCTGACATGCTGTGGCAGAGGTGGAGTGGCCTTGCTGTCTCTGTCTCTCACTGCCCAGAGGCTGTAAATGAACAGCCAGAAACAAAAACTAGTGCTAGGGAGAAAATGAGTAAAGTGTTAAGAAGCTCCAAGGTGAGAAACTGCTTGTTTTTCCAATTAGTGTTGCCTGATGTCCAGAGCAGTGCTTTGCATGGGCCAGTACTGAGTATTTGTTACTCTACACTTAGTCTTGCTTTTGGGATCAAAATAAGGAACACAGGAAAAGCAACTCTCAGAACTTTTCAGACAACTTGTTTGCATGATTCAGATCTTAAAGCCACATCTGTTGTCTCAGGATTTTAAGTATCCGGTGATGTGGAGAGAGGACTCTTCAATCCCTTTGCTAATGCAGACACCCTGCACGCTAAAATCTTCCTTGCTTCATATTGTGACCCTGCCAACCCGGCAGAAGCACATGTCTATCTCTTCACTTAACTTTCTTATCAGCTTGTTTTTCTTGTCTCTGACCTCAATTCTTTTTACTAATGGGGAATTCTAACCATATACTAAGGCTATGCAGATGTGGAGTGGGCAAGTTAAAAGAATATGAGCTAGTGTCTGTCATATAGCTTTGGATCATGAATACAATCTGAAACATCTGTAAGGAAGAATGGTTGAAGGAAATCAAAGGCATTCCAACAGTTTTACTCCTTGTTATGGGTCAACACAAATCGAATGCAGAGATGGCCATGTAAGTTCTGTCGAATTTGTAGTTCATAAAAGATCTGTCTCAGCATTTAGCCTGTGAATAATCTGAGTGAAGTCAATCTTTCTGGGCCTCATTTTAGCTAGCTATAAGACAGAGTGAATCATGTTGCCACTTGTAGACCATAGCAGGGTACTGAGATGGGAGTGGCAGGGATCCTATGTGAGTTTCATGTCATACAATTTTCAAGGCTATAACTTATTTGAAACAGGTAGGAGCTGAGAAAAGATGATTCGGAGGAGAATTGGAACAGAGAGATTTCAGGAGGGAGTGGCTCTCCCTCTGTCCCCATTCAGGACGTGCAGGAGGCTTGATGACTTCCACCTGGATATTAGTTTCTCAACTTCCCCCATCGCAGAATGAGGAGAATATTCAGTGAATATTCAGAACATTCAGTGAACACTGCAGGATCTAAAGGTTGCCAAACAGGGATGAAGGTTGATTGACTGAATTACTATTTTATACAACCTATTCCCATATCTTTTTCTTTTCTGTATGACAGAATTCTGCAGAGTGAAGAACAGAGGCAGACTGAAATCACAACTCCCCCATCCCACCCCCAGTCCAGTCCCATTGAAGAGCAAGGAAGGAGGGAGGAAAGTCCCCAGGCTAGGAGAAGGAGAGTGCTACAAGTCCCCTGTGGTGCTAGGATCAAACCCTCACATGCTGGGCCAGTGCCCTGGACCTCCTTTATGAGGGTACTAATCCCATTCACAAGGGCTCTGCCCTTACACTCTAATCATGTTCTGAGTGTCTTCTACCTCCCCATCCCATCACTTTGGACATTGGAATTTCAAAAAACAGATTTTGAGGAGGGCATAAACACACCACAGCAAGGCAGCAATAAGACATCCGAAGGGCAGGCTCTTTTTATGCACAAGTACTCTGGTGGACCTAAGGAACTAGGACCCCAAACCAGAGTTCCAGCCTCAGTGTATATACCTGGTAAGCCACATGGATAACAAGGAAGCCAAGAGCTGAGGGACTGTAAGGATCCAAAGCAGCTGGGGAAACACAAATGACATACGTTCCCTCCAATTAGACTGGAGATGAGAGCTTGGAGCAATTAGTTTTAGAACAACAGTTTTCAAAAATATGAATCAATGACAGAGATGGGAATTCCCAACAGTCTGACAGGATGGGGACACAGAAACCAAACTGATTGATCTAAAAGAAATCAAGCAGTATTTTCTATACACCCAAATTCATGGACTAAGATATCCATTACAGTGAGTTTGACATCAAGCATTTGGAGATCTCAGAAGGGCTGTGAGGAAGACATTTATGCAATCAGAAAGAGGGAAAGCACAAGTTATGGGATTGGTACTCCCCAGCAACAGGGCGAATGGGTTCTTTTTTTTCTGGGGGAGTGGGGCTTTCTGGGTTTGTTTGGAATGCTTTACTGTTGTGGGTTTAAAGCTGTGTCCTGGGGAAAGGTTTCTAGGTAAGAGATCTGAACTTGGGTAGGCTGAACACACTCACATTAACCATCTTTGAACTTGGACAGGTCAACACATCCACATTAGCCTCGATCAGCAAAGAGAACGAGTAGGGAAAAGAAAGGAGCTGTTTTTTTTTTATCTCTTTGTGTCACTTTATGGTGAAGGGCCATGAGGAAGGGAACTTGAGTTTAAGTTAAAAAAAAAATTCCCTGGAAGACATACTGGCCACCATTTGGCTTCAGTGACTGTCACCCTTTGCCATGGCAGGAGGAAATATTAAAGTGGTCACAGTAGATCATTCTGCTAAATTACCCTTATTCTGCTGGCGATGGTTTGAGCACTATCTGGGGAATAAATGTATGCGATCTTCACTTACATTCATCATGAGAAATGAATCCTTTTGACATTCACGAAAAATACAGACTGTGAGAAATAGGCAAACAGTTTTTCATTAGCAATGAGATAGAAAACTATAAACTCCTTTCATTCAGGATCTAACAGGCTCCAAAACAACCTGAACATTTTTACAATATCAAGTTAAAATCTCTAAGATCTCCAAATATCTTGATTATCAGGTTGCCTTGTAGCCTACCTAGCTGTGGGCTCTGTATTCACAATTCAATTAACCCAGATAGAAAAAAAAAATTGCATGTGTACAGAACATCTGTACTTTTTTTTGGTCACTATTCCCTAAATAACATAGTATAATAACTATTTACATAGTTTGCATTATATTAGGTACTATACATATTCTACAGATTATTTAAAGCATATGGGACGATATGCATAGGTTAAAGGCAAGTACCACACTTTTTAAAGAAGGGACTCAAGCATCCTTAGATTTTGATATCAGCAAAGGGTCATGGATAATGAACAATGATGATACATCCATTACCAATTTGGTGGCCTTAGTCAACACATATTAAGAACCTACTGTGTCCCAGGCATAGTTTAAGTGCTAGGAATATATTAATAAGCAAAGAACTTGCCTTATGAGTTGAGTTCTGGCAGGAGAGACAAACAGTTATGCATATCAATTTTTGATAAACATTATAAATAAAATAAAGCAGAGTTAAGGGGGTAAGGTGATAGAATAGGGGAAGTGCTATTTTACATAGGATAATTAGGAATTGACCTTAGAACCTGTCAACCTCTCTGTTGCTATCCCTCAATTTCTCCTGATGTCCCAAGTTCATTTGTACCTCAGGCATTTTGCAAATAATGTTTCCACTGTCTGGATCTCTTCCTCTTCCTATTAACTCTTTTTTCCCAGTTACCTCTTACTGTCCCTCTGATATTAACCCCAGAACCCTTCCTCCAGATAGCCTTCTCTGGCTGTCAAAACAAGTCAATTTCAGGTTCCCTCTTAATCATGGCACTGACCTTCATTATGTTGAGCACAATAATAAGGACATGTGCATTTAATCATTTAATGCCTTTGTCTCCTCCAGACTATAAGCTCCATTAAAGCAAAGACTGCATTTTTGTTTATTGTTGAATACTTAGAAGCATGGAGTTTGCAGATAGGTATCCAACAAATAATTGTTGAATGTCCAAGAAATTTTCAACATAAAAGAATATTAAGTTAAGCATGGAAAGTGCCTTCTGGAAAGTGCCTTTTTAGAAAACACTGTGCTTGATCTTATAGGCCATATATATAATGTTGGGAAATATTTTGTGTAGCAAAATTAATCAACAAAATTTGGTTTCATTTGGTTATGAACATCAATACTAACGATGTCCCTATCCTTTTATTTCAACAATGTTCAATAATTTTGGACATGTGTGCAGACTGAACTACAACCTAAAACCAATAATTATTATTTGTAAAAGACCAAGTCATAAATAGGCAGAATCAACCCATGCTTTTATTTTCATTGCATATAAAAATTTCATATGAAGATATTGATGTACAGTACTATCCCCATGGGCTGTAAGAGAGGCTAAGAAAACCACTAAAAGAATCATCATTTGTAATGCTCACATACAATTTACCACTCTGAAAACATATCCAAAGAAATAAAATTTAAAAACAACTAAAATAAGTAAGGATGTAGTTTGTAATTATAGTGTCCCCTTTGTACTGTTTAAAACAAAAGTAATTAAATTCCTTTGGGCCAGGGCTGCTAAAATCTACAGTTTGTGTCAAAAAATAAAATAAAATAAAATAATAGGAGGCTCATTTTTCCTAGAAAAACAATCTCTCCTTTCACTGATGAGTCACATGTTCCAAGGGCTGGGCAGCTGTGGGAGGTTTCCACATTATACACTGGGGAGTTTTCATAGCTTTCAGGAGATGGCCATTGTACAAAGTTAAATGTAATAATCCTAAGTGGATATAAGTTTTGCAGAAATAAATTTTAGATAACAGTGAATCTTTTATGCTATGTGAATTAGAATCACAAAAAATGGTGTTTAAATTGATGTGGGTTTACATACATATAAAAAATTGGTTGATCTTAATCAAAGAAAAATTTTAAGGTTAAAAAAAGGACTTTTTCTATATGATACAGTCTCTTAACATGACTGAAAGCTAATGGAACAGATAACTAACCAAGATGAGTGACACATGGCTCCAGTTTCAAATCAAGTTCATTTTCCTATGAACTTGTGGAAGCCAAAAGATTTTCAATAATCACTGGACAAGAATATATTTCAAAAAAAAAAAAAAAGAATATATTTCCCCAGTAGTGTCTGAAAGTAAAAAGCCATCAAATATAACTAGCTGAAATAGCTCCTTATCTACATCTGGAAATAATTATCACACATGCTGTGCCACTCCATGGCAAGAAGTACCTACAAGCTTCCATCTTGAAAGGGTTGCAAGATGTGTCAGAGGTGTTTTGACTTTATAAAATCCAGCTACTTTCAGAAATCCAATCAATTGAAATCTTGGATATAAATGCCCAGCCCTAGCCCCCACCATTACCTTTTTTAGAAATGCAGCAAAACAGAAGAAAATATTGATTAAAGTTAAGGCACAGCCCTGGGACCAAAGACCTGCAGCTATGTTATTTAAATTTATATATCTTTATGTATTTTATAGTTTTCTTGAATCTTCCATAAACAAGCTCTAAGGTGACAAGACTATATTACAGGAGAAAAGAAAAATGTACAAGGAGTATGTATACACACCATTCATTCTCTCACCAAGAGTTTCCAAGTATATCAACACCATCCTATCACGGGATGATGTTTTAATAAGAACTGATAATTTACAATTAACATTACAGTATGTACATTGCAATAAATACATGGTTGTAAACAGACAAACAAGACTGTATTACAGGTAAGGTCATTTGGTGAGAAAAAAAAATGCATGGCACAAAAAATAAATATGCATTCAAAAATTATCATAAAGCTTTCTGTAAAATCCATTTCATTCAAGTTTTTTCTTTCCTCATCTGTAATTTGTTCTATCTACATTATTTTCTTGTGAATTTTAACTGATGCAAAAGAAAACAAAATTAAAACAGCATTATTGTGTTCAGTAACTTGCAAGCTGAAATGTACTCATTTTATGCAAACTTGGACATAATTTTTCCCCATACAGTACCCAGATATTGCATTTTCTTATGGTGTTTTAGGAAATGTAAAGCCACTTGTATAAGACCTTCTTTTTAAAGCAGTGTGTATTTCTGAAGCACACTTTGGAGAGAAAGAATGAGGGGTGGGGCATACAGGAGGGAGGGAGAGAGAGAGAGAAGGGAGAGGACAAACAGATTGTACAGTGCATTAGTCTCTAACTCTTGGATATTATGCCTTTGCTACAATTTGATTGTCCATTGGTGGGTATCTTTATAACATGGGACCATTAAAAAGCAGAAAACTGTGGGGGAAAGCCTCTATTAGTGCAGTTAAAAACCCTTTCAGGTCTGGATTTTTTTTACATATTGCTGTTTATTTTTTCCATTATTAATATTCTAGGCACTCTGAGAGGGAAATGCCAAGTGAAGGGAGAAAAAGGAAGGAATGAGAGTGATTTGGAAAGAGGAATAAACTAGACATTTTGCTTTTCCTTTTAGGCCTCTCATAGAGAAAATACAATTAAAACAGGATTAAGTTCTCAAATATTCTTGTGAAACTAATTGGTCAAACATAGACCTCTATGTGAAAGATACCTGTCTATCTTTACAAGGGCAAAAGGGTGTAAATACAATAATTAGTTGATTCCTCTTCTGTACTATCTAAAAGATCAGAGACATACTTTTTCTATCAAAGGCTGTAAGCATTACTTGGATCTCAGGAAATTAAAACAGGGACTATCTTCAGCCTGGATTATTTTCCTGGCTGATAACTTTGTTCTGCAGTCCCCAGATGGCTCCATGAGAAGTTCCAAATGTGAATGTTTTTAGGGTTGTTATTTTTCTTAATGTTTCATGTATTTTCTGTTTAGTCAGATCTTTTAGTCTCTATCTTAATTTTTGGATATCAATGTGAAAGTGGATTATGTGAGCTCCAAACTCTTTACAGAAAAGGTAAACCCTTTATTAAGAACTGACTTGGGAAGAAAGTTCAGACTAAACAGATGCTTCACGATTCTAGCTGCTATCAGCAGAAGATACTGGGAATTCATCTTTAATATTACAACACAGTTCCAGGAGCTAAAATCAGCCAAGAGTGATCTCTATTTTTTTATTTAGGCAGAATCTTTTTACCAATCCAATACTTTAGACTATATCATATTATCAACCCTCTGGTGCTAGTAGCATCATCAACTGCTTCTCCTTCAGCGTGTTTAAAGAAAGTAGTTCCCTCCTTCAAGACATGATTATGGATCAATGAAAACTGGTAAAGCAGTGCCTACATGTTACATGGCTATCCATTAAGAATGAGTAGCTGCTACATCATAAGACCACTGCTCAAGGATACTCCTCACATAGTTCTTAATTGCATGGCAAAAATCATAAAAGCCAAAGAGAACTTAGTTGTACTGGTGTTTGATAATATATTCAGTTACTATTCTTAAAATCTGTATAGTTAGCTGTACACTTTTCTCTATAACCTCAGAGTGAAAGCTAGTCATGACATACAACCTCATGGTAGAAATGAGTGCTAACCCTAACTTGACTACCTGTTTCTTTTCATCCATCAGAATGGAGATAATAGATTCGATAAGACCCCATCTAGTGAACATGGACAGAAGTTCAAACACACATTAAATAATAAAGCAGCACAAGGGGGAAACATTTTTCTTACTATAACTGGCAATAACAATAAAAATAAGCACACAATGTGTGGGTTATTAGAAGGACATGCAGTTATGAAATGCATGTCTCTTGACAGAGCAAAAAGTCATCAGAAGACACTAAGTAGGAAAATATCTAAAAAAAGACAGACCATTTTAGCTACTGGGTGTTTATATATCTCCCATTTGCTTCAGACAACACCAACTGATGATTGAGTTTCTATGAGGCTTAAGACACATTTGATATAACACACATCAAAGTATTACAGAACAAATATTCACTTTGCACACTGTGAAGGAAAACATTGGTGGAGAGCAACTCTGCTTATCTAGAAGGAGTGAGATAAAAAGCAAATGAAGACTTACAAAAAGGGTTTCCAGCAACATAAAGTTGTTTTTTTGTTTTAAAATATGGAAGTTGTTGGTATATAAAACAATGAATCACTACAAATCAGTTAATTTCTATGAACTATAAGGTGCAAGTAAAATTTGTAAATTAGATTTATCCAGTGTAGCACAGATTTGTACTGAAAACTTGCAAGTTACTCCTTAGAAAAAAATAATAACCAGTGGCAGATGAAGTTCTGAACATAGTTTTTTTAAATATAATACTCAATACATTTAATAATAAAAGTAAGCTCTACAAAAAATCTGTTTTACATATCATACAAAATGTAGAGGTGAGTGCAGCTCACTGAACCACACTATTCAGTCATGTATCAGGAAGACTTGAAATTAGAAAATTATGCAATTTCTGTGGCTCATCCTCCTCCTGGAAACAGATTCATGCTGTGTCCTATTTGTGACATTTTTTTTGCTTCATCTACTAAGTTCACTCCATCCATGTAATGCCTTCTTTCTTCCAAAAAATATTGCAAACAAATAAAAGAAACCCCAAATCCAATCTACTACTGGGCTGCCTGATGAGCTAATCTCCCTTGAAAACATTTTGGAGTTGATTTTATCTGCTTTGTCAGCTCTCCCAAGCTGAAATTCTGTTAAAATGTTGTTCTCGAAGATATCCCCCTTGCTCTGATGACATGGAGGTGAAGAAACTGGTTACGATATTCCTGAGCGCCAGACTGAGTAGTCAAGGTCAGTTTTGTTCAACAAACGTCCTGGCAGATGAGAGTGAGGTGTGACCATGGTTGTGGCATGTGACATGCACTTTGGAAACAATTTTCTACTTTAAAAAAAAAAAAAAGGCGTGACAGTCTCTGCACTGTTACGTGTCAGGAGAACAATCATCTATTACAGGAGCTTCCGGCTGGCTTTCCTCTTCTCCTACTGCCTCCTCTTCCACCTGTTCATCAAGGGGAATTTCAGTAGACTCTGAGTCTTGAGTACACAGAGTCTTGGAGTCACTGCAGCTAGTGTCTTCTTCCACTTGACTTCCACTGTCCTTTTCGGTGTCTGACTCACCATCTTCCTCTAAAGTTAGTTCAAACTGGAATTTCTCGGTTTGACCCTGCCGGCCCTCTTCTTGGTCATCAGGTGCAGGAGAGGGGCTCTGAGGGATTGTGCTCTGGTACCATTCACGATTGTCCTCCAAAGTGTCCAAAATATCCTGGGCATCAGGATGTACAAGGTCTGCCCATGTCTCCCAGAGAGGATGAACAATATAGTCTATGAAGCCCACCTAGTTAAAAAAAGAAATCCAATATGAGCAGTCCAATTAGACTAAGAGACCATTAAAAAAGTTAAGTAGATCATCATGGCCCACAAATATAACAGCGATCAGAATACTACTAACCTTAGTTTGGTAAAATAGTCATTATTTGAGATAAGAGACCATATAAAAGTGCTGTTTCTAGCTGGTGTAAATTTCTAGCCTCTAGAATGATTAGTAGTTCAAGAATATGTTCACAATGTAAAAACATTTTCAGTTATTTACATGGCAGGATATGGGGTCTGGAACTTATTTTAGAATAGTCAATGTGTAGGTGAATCTAGATAACTGAAATAAACAAATACTCTATGTACATGAACATGGTTATAATGAGTGAACAGAATGCCACACCAGTAGAAGCATGGCTATGTAAATCTAAGTTCTACAATTGCAGGTTTTCTATATCATAAGTGGTAAGGTGAAACTGATTCTGTCAAAAACAAATAATTTTAAAAACCCAAGAAAACACTATAAGTAAACAAATGTTAGCTGCATCTTTCTTCTCTCGGAAGGCTTTCTGTGCCATGCATTACCTGTGATTTTTCCACAGATGCATTGTGCTTGTCACACATGGGACTTATCTCCATGCCACGCTCCCTCTCTCGGTCTCCTTGGCGAAAGAACTCCTCCATTATCCGGTCTGTCCACTGGCGGTACAGTTGGAGAGGCTTTGTGGGGTTGCTCAGGTCTGCACAGTGCACCATATTCTGAAGGACCTAAAGTAGACAGAGGCATTCTCTACTCAGCACTTGCTCCATTTTTTTTTTCAAACTAGAAATTCAAGTCAGATGACTGTGACACTTAAAAATACATGTAGTGTAAGATTTATTTCAAACAGCTCAACCAAGATGTGTCTGTGTGTGGTTCACACTTGTATAAATAGTTCCAAATTATGCCACTTCTACTGCATCTAAGTATCATAGGAGAAGCTGTTTATGTGCATGGTTAATGAAATTCAGACCTCCTTATGTGGATGGTTTTGGGGAGGTTTTAGATGTTTTTGTTTTTTAAATATATGGGCATCTAAAAAGACCAGTAAGTTTCTGCCTGGTTAATTCTCAGGATGAGAGTGTGGGTAAAAATCCTGCCTATAGTTACTGAAAGTTAAGATGGGAGAAATGAATTTTATCAAAGAAGAATACACAGACACATGTGCATGTGTACACAAACACACATGAACACACAACACAAAGTCAAATAATGATTTACCTGAATCCTGTCAGAATAGTTATCAAGAAGAAGAACCCCAGAACTTGTCACTTTCTTAGTTTCAACCATAGTTTTCAAATCAGCCAGTAGATTCATGTGTTTTGACATGTCTGTTGCAAGTACCTTCAAAGATAAAGAATATTTTATTAAGTTCAAAGGGAAAAGTCAGAATTTGCATATGAAAACTTTTTTTTTTTCAGAATGTGAAAAGGAAGGAAAACTACTATGACTTCTAATGGCAGTATATGGAAATTAATCCTTCTAGGGGCACAATCTTTTCCCTTTGCTAACGTCTCTTGGAAACCTAGCTAAACATGTACACTATGCAGAAACATCAGGCACTGACCACCACTTTCCTGGTGAAAATATGATGGTATCTCTGAGGATAAGATATCATCACACATTTTAAAGTTTTTTCATTCCCTGGACTAGAAAGTGGTTATTGGACTACAATGAGTGATTTAAGGTTGCTCACAGACCACTTCAGAAATAGTATTCTGGTTAATTTTCTGTTTATCCAAGAAAAATAATTCCTGTCTCTATGTGTACAAAGCAAGTAATTTTTTTTAGAAACAAGAGATTTTTCTATGTCTCATAATCACTCTGAATAATACACATAGAGAAAATAGTAAAATCATGTATATCTCTATTTGGATGGAAAAAGGCAGGGGATATTCGAGTAATAGCCCATGCCCTCTATTTTTTGCTTATTCATCTTTTTCTGTCTGCCATGTGGAGCTCAGAAAATAAAAGCTGAATAATGAGGTTCAACTATTATTATTCTTAAATCCAAACTGTTATAAGTAGACAACCTATTACAGAATAGCACTGCCAGCAACAGATGCAGCTTCTAGAACATAAAGGGCCATAGAAGTTTGGAAATACACATGCTTTTACCTAATACTTTCATTCTCACATTTAAATTTTTTTAGACTACTTTCATCACATTTTTTTTTTTTGCTTTTGTTAACTACTTACAATGTCAATGACCATTTTCCTTAAAGATTGTCTTTGCTTTTTGGTCAAATTCTGAAAAATGTCACAGTTTTCTTCCTGAAGCAACTTAAAGCCCACGGCCAAATGATGGTTCTCTAAGACAGAGGAGTCATTATACATCAAGGCAAGTTCAGAGTCTGAAAGGAAAAGAGGCAGATGATCACCAGAGCTGTTTAATTAGAGCTTATTTTTAAAGTTTTATGATACTTTGGATTTAGGATGCAATTTCCCCTAAACTTCTCTGCCACCCTTACCATTACATGATAATAACAAGAAGAAAATACATTGAATAATGAAGGAGCAGAAATAACACTGGAACCTTTAGGAGTGAACTCCAATGTTACTGATATGTGGAGGGGCATTTCACTCTGTGGGCCTCAGCTGCCCCTGGACCTGATAAACTCAGTGGAATATGGAATTATTCTTAACATAGCAACATGTCTACAGCATAAGGTCTTATATTCCTGATAATTGTGGATTCTCTGCCCTACAACTTTTATGTGAGGATCATGCAATGCCAAGAAGTGTAGCAAGAAGCCTTGAGCAGTGAACTCTAGTAGTGAATCAGGAGATGATAAACATGATCCATTCAGTACCTGGCACACACTAATAACACTATAAAGCATTCTCTATTTTATTGAGGGACCATGCATTTCTTTACAAACCCAAAGCCACAATTTTATTACAGAGAGACTAATTATGCTCATTTGTAAGAACTACCCTGGATCATCAAGAATAAATGACAACATTCTCAATATAATGCTACTAATGAAGGCATAAAGACCATATAATCTCTTTCTCAGTCTTCACTGGCATGGGGGTAGAGGGTGGGAAGGTACTACCACATAACTGAGGTCATGTACTTCATTTAGCAGACACAGACTAAGTGCATGTTCCAATAATATAACAAAATACTGAATGATAGGAGTTGGCTCAGGCAATTATGCAAGCCAGTGAGTACATCATCTGCAAGTTGGAGAAGCAGAAAAGCCAGTGGTATAATTCAGTTCTAGTGTGACCACTGAGAACTGGAGCATGGGGAGACTGGTGTAAATTCTCTCTGGTCACCAGAAGCACTGATGTCCAAAGGCAGGAGAATATGGATATCCTTGCTCAAACAGAAAGTGAGTTTGCCTTTCCTCCACCTTTTGGTTTCATTCAGGCCCTCAATGGACTGAGTGATGCCCACTGCACAGGTAAATCTTCTTTACTCGACTTACTGATGTAAATGCTAATCCCTTCTGGACACACCCTCAAAGACACACAGGAAAGAATATTTACCAGCCATGTTGGCAACGCTTAGCCTAGTCAAGCCACACATAAAATTACCCATCACAAGGTTCACTCCTTGCCAAACTGGTACCTATATGCATTTCCTTAAGCTGTATTTAGTCTCCAAATCAAGACAATAATAAGGTAACAATTCCATCTAACATGGTACAATTATAAACCCAGTACCCTTTCTCCATAAGAAGTAAAGCTCTAGAATGATGTTTACTCTTCTTGTGATATTCCACAACTTAAATACTACGATGCAAAATTAACAAAACCTCAAAACTAATGTAAAGTCAAAACATCTTATATTACATGATGAGGGAAAAGGGGGAAAAACAAAGAAAATTTCCCAATATAAGTATATTTACACACACAAAGGTGTACTCATGATGATTAGAGTCCTCATTTCTATAACTGGTCTTGTGCTAATAGCTGGTATTTATAACTACCTTCTCCTCTTACTCATTCTTTATCTCCTTTGTCTTTAGAGAGTACCTAGTCATGGTTCTTTTTCTACTGGGTTGACCCAAATCTTCACTCCTGGGAAGGACCATTACTAATTCCACCTGTATTGGGTTGTTGTAGTTTCCCATTGACCTAACTCACAATGGCATAGTAATGTAAGAGATACCATAGGAAATCTCCTGTATTCCACACACACATTCTTCCCTACCTACACTGTGGAGTAATAACCCAGTTTCCCCTTGGCAGTCCACATCAGTCCTCACAGTTAACATTGTAACTCCTTTCTTGGTCTCTTCTTCATTTGGAGATAAAAGGAATCCAAAGGGGAATTCCTTCTAGGTCAGTGAATTATTGTCATGCTTCCTGGTCATTACTCCCTATGGAATTAAGACCTATGGGCCACAGAGCATAATGTTGCCAGAAGAGAAAACAAAATTTTGCCTGTGGGTAACTAGAGGTAATAGTGAATGGTGCTACTTCCATGTCCATCTTTGATTTCTGGACTTGTAACTCTTGGTTATGGGAGAAGTAACATTAGATACTGAACACGGGTTTTGATTACATATGGCCTTCTGGAACACTTTTCCCCAGGCCTGAAAGGTATTGCCACCTGGCTGGCGCTGCAACCGAGGCTTCAAAAGGCCATTCCACCATTCTAATCAAGCCAGTTGCTTCTAGAGTGTGGGCAGCCTTTGGCAGCTCTAAGTGAATCATGGCACAACTACTGAATCTGCTGAATCATATGGCTCAAGTGGCAGAGTAACCTGCACAGCAGCCTGGACTTCTGCAGAACCTTCTCTTATTCTGTGCCCCCACACAAAACCAGCAGCTCTTTAGGTCACTCGGCCGGAATAACATACTCAAACAAGTAAGTTTCCTCCAAAATCCTAACTGGTACTAGGCATTGTGTCTTCTTCATAGTTGTAGGAGGGGCCAGATGTAACAATTTATCCCTCTCCTTAGAAGAGATATCTTACCATGCCCCATACCACTGGACCCTTAGAAATTGCACTAAGATAGAAGGCCCTTGAATTTTATTTGGATTTATTTCCTAATCAATGTCCTCACTCTTCCAGTAGACATCCTGGGAAGCTGGGAGCTCACTTTGCATTGTATTTAGCCAATAACAGGAGAAGATTCTGCCTTTGATTTCCAGCAACTGCAGCTACAGAGGGCTGGCACACCTAGAAGCACTTAGTCCACTGATGGCGGTGCTTGATCTGGGAATTCCAATCCCCAAGCTCATCCCTTTACTTCACCACTTGATTCACGGACATCAGGAGTAACCAATCAATGTTATTACATTCCTGGGTTTCCTAAAAATGTGTGAGAGTATCATATGCAGAATCACTTCGCTCCTTGCTTCAAATGTAAGTGGTTGATTGGGAGTACCCAAGGCAGATATTTTATGTATAAACAGTTCTCCCTACAGACTATCAGTGCTTTCTCTCCTACTGGAAACAGCAATGCTGTCTTCAAACTTAATCAGATTAGAAAGCCAATTCCAGAAACCCCATAATTAATTCAGAAAAGTCATCCTTAAAACTTTCTTCCTCTACAAACATTCTTAGTTTAAAAAAAAAAATCTCTTTTATGGGTTATCCAGAGAAAAAGAACCAGTAGGATAAATAGATATAGATATTTCAATGTGCTTATTAGAAACTGGCTCAGGGATCATGGATGCCAATAAGTCCCAGGATCTGGAGAAGCAAGAAAACCAGCTAGGGGTATGATTCAGTCTGAAGATCTGAGTTAGGGAATGAATGGGGAGGGAATGGAAGGAGTGGAGAAAGTAATTGATGTAAGTCCCAGTTCACATTTGAAGGCCCAAAAAGCAGTGGCATGGATATCTGAGAGCAGGAGAAGATGATGTCCCAGCTCCAACTGAGAACAGGAATTTGCCTTTTTCCACTTCTTCTACTCTATTCAGCCCCCAGTGGCTTGGATGGATGTCCACTCACAATGATGATGATAATCTTTACTTAATTTAGTGATTCAAATGCCTATGTCTTCTGAAAACATTCTCACAGATTCACCCTAAATCATTTTTTGGCCAGCTTCTGGGCACACCTCAGCCTGGTTAAGTTATAAATAAATTTACTCTCGCATCCTTAGACTATAGGCCTCTGAACGGCATTCTTGTGCTTTAGTACAACGGCAGATTCATTCCATATATACCTCTGCTTATATCTTATGGATGAAAAACACTTTTAAGAGTAAATTAAATGCATATTCATTGTATCAGGGTTTGAGGTTAAGTGATCCTGAGCTTAGAAATCCAACAGACCTGGCTGTGAAATCAGCACCCCACCTCTCTTCCTTTGTTCTCATTTGTAAAGTAAGAACGATCCCTACCCAACTTCTGGGAGGATTATATGCCAGTAACAACAGAAATGTGGGGGCTTCTAGTAATGCCCCTAGGAGTTTCCTCCGCCAACTGCATCTGGACAGAAACCCTCATTTCATCAGCTCAGTCTAAGAAGGGAAACTGGAACAGTTTTTTCAACAGTAAGAGCCTGTTTAAAAGGCACAGGAGCAAGAGAAGATTGGGCCTTAATGTGAAGTTAAGAACATCCGTGTGGTGGATCCAAGCCTACACCAGGAGATTGGGCTGGCACACTTAAGAATGGAGTGAAGACTGGTAAGAACTACCTCTCACTGTTACTACAGCTTCACTATGTTGAACTCAGAGCTTGAAAATGACAGCAGGCTACACTGTGACTCTAAGTTACGGAAGACAAGAGCAAAAGTCTTCAAAATGACTTCTGAACATAACATTTGTCCTTGAAATGGGGAGAGGAAGGGGTGGTTTTAACTTAATATTGGTGCTAAAGTCAAAGGGTTAAAGCTGCTTGCTCACTCCCTCAACTCCTCTTTCTGTGCCATAAGCCTGCACTACTGCTCTGAATACCATCACATGCCACATGTTCATGTAAGCTGTCTTTTCCAGCAGAATGCAGGTTCCTAATAGCCAAGGCTCAATTTTGGCCACCATGAATTCCTAGTGCCCAGAACCAAATTTAAATACATTGTTATTGGATAAAATAATCTCAATAGTTACAACTATACCACATTTGTTAAAAATGAATTTACCTTCTTTTAAATGTTACTTTGGTTTAGGTAGAAAAACAAAACTCTCTATATAATTCACCAGTATGACTATGGGAACTGTATTTTTAAATTACATCAGAGAAATTAAAAAGTATATGCACTGGTTCTTAGATATAACTTCACCTTAATATGATATGATGCTTCTCTGCTCTTAGAAGCCAAAATATACATGCTTTGATTATGTGCCTAATGTAAATAAGTCTTTCTCCCCATGACCTGGCCATCTTTGATATAAATAAAAAAGGATACTCTTCCAAGGAAAATGTAATATATATATATATATATATATATATATATATATATATATATATATATATATATATATATATATATATATATATTCTGTACTTTTTATACTGCTTTTTTTTTTCCAGAAAATAAAGCTGTGAAGTTAAATAGATATTTTTACACTAATGACATTCTAGAATGTTCTATTCAAGACTTGATGATATAATACACATTTTACAGATTTAATTACCTGTATTATCCTTAAAAATAAAAGACTTAAGGAGCTTCCCATGTAGAACTTCAATTTCTCTATGTCACATTCCTCTACATCCCCAAGTTATTCATTAAAGCTCAACAAATTCTGCCAGGCAGAATTGTGTCAAATCATTTGGCGCCCCAAAGTAACACACATCAAATGATTAATGGGAACCAGGATCACAACTGAGAAGCAAGACCATAACTGCACTATGAACCAGCCCAGTGAGCCCTAGTGCTCCTCTGAAATTCGCCACATAACCCAAGGTATCCCTTTACCTCGCTGCACTGAACAGTCTCCTTTATAGTAAGACAGATAACTTTCCAACTCTGGGTTTATAAATCTTATAATCAGGACTTTTTAGAATTCCTTATTATAAAGAATGGATTCAATCTTTGGTTTGGGGCAGACTGGAGTTCCAGCTCTGAGCCAAGAGCAGAGCAAGTGCTAGTCTGACTCACTGATGCTCAACTCATCCATAAACGTAGGAGAAAATACCAACTTAAGTCTGTTAAGAAAAAAAAAAAGACATTTATAGCAGATCAAAAATAAAGGCATTGTCAGGTGAAGTGGCACATGCCTGGAAGACTGCAAATTTGAGGCCAGCCTCCACAACTTAGCAAGACCCTATTTCAAAATAAAATAAAAATTAAAAAAAAGAGGCTGGAGATGTGGCTCAGGGGTTAAGCAATACTAATTTCAATCACTGGTACTAAAAGTACATAAATGTATAATACTGTTAATTTCACTATTATTACTAAGCTATTTATTACTAGTTATGAGAGATTTCTTTATTGTATGTTGTGAAGATAAAACTTATTGATATTACCAGCTACTAAGCCCTTTCTATGTCCTTCAAAGGAAAAAAAAAAAGGAACCTACCTCACATGAACCCTTGTCAAAAGCTTACTAGGGCAGTAATTCTGATCATGCCCTGTTACTATCATCAACCGTGGGATACTTTCATATACCAAATGACAATGCTGATTCATTTGCTCAGGAATAACACAGTCCCATCACACTCTAACATCAAAAATATTAGCAATCCAACCTAAGCTGCTCTGTGGATTGTGAGCTTTCCTGTGTTCCTGTGGTCCTATAGAAAGAAGATCATCACAGCATCACAGGTAGCAAGGAACTTTCAGGTTCAGGATTGTCATCCTTCTACCCCAAGTAGGTGACCAGAAAAATGAGCTTAAGTGGATATCTCTGACTACTCTCTCTGTATTTATAATCATCCTCCAAATTTCTCCATCATCTGTTTCAGTGCCTCTTAAACTTCAATGGGTATTAAATTTGTCTGTAGATGGGCTATGCTAGCTTAAATGACCTAACCTGTATAAATAAGTTCCTAAACTAAGCTTCTAAAATATACTTGACTAACCACACATCTCTGGACACTTGTTCTAATCCTTTAAATATGTGGATCATTAAAGTGTACTTTACTGTAAGGTAGGACAGAGGTTGTTAAAAGAAAGATAAATAGATTTAAATAATCCTAAAGTGTGAGTTAAATGTCTCAAAGCAAGATTGCATTTAATTTTTCTCTTTACATCTGAGTACAGCCAAGTATAAGAAATAGACAGTAAGCATCTAGAATTGTACATGGCTAGATTGTTATAGCATGTAGGAGGACTATTATCCACAAATTCAAGCAGAAGGGAAAAAAAGGCAGAATTTTTCCCAACATGTGTCTATTTCCTTTTCTAAGATTGAAAAAGAAACAAGGGGGTATCCATATTCAACTGGCCAATTAGCTACGGCTTGGGCAGATATCCCTCTTGGTTATCTTCAACTCACAACTTAAATCTACTCAGTGTATTTTCTTAATAGGGATAGCCATTGATCCTAGATAGTCCTATATCCTCATTTCTCTTATCTTAAAATAAAAATCTTGATTTCCCTTTTAAGAGGCAGATTATTAACATGAAAAAAAACATTTTCAACAACTTTGCATTTTTTTCATATATAAAATCAAATTTATAATATTAATTTATTTTAGTGGCAAGGAATTAAATCGCAGTAAATGTTTAAGTAATTTACCTACTGACTTCAAGGACCAAATAACTTCTGTAAACCTAAGCTCTTTCCAAAGGAAGAGGTGGAACATCACCTCAACATTTCCTACAGAGGCTTGCTGTGCAGCTGTCAAAGATGTCCATATTGAATAGTCCTACCATCCTTACATTTCCAAATTCAGCCATGACTTGTTATACAGATTTGAGAGGTTACCACTGAGGAGAAAAAGACTGAATGATTAAAATATCAAATTAAGAGAGAAGTTCCTGTCACCCTCATTACGAGATTTAAAAAGGAAAGAAGAGGGTTGGGCCTGCTGAGGGTGGGGAAAGGTGAGCTACAGCTTCTGAAGGGATGAAATGATGATCTACATAAAGTAAAGGTCTACTAGCACTCACTTTCACATACCTTTGCTTTTTTTTTTTAACCTTTAAAGGCAGCATAGCTACCTAAATGTCTCTTCCCACTTTTACTTTTGATTCTTCTTATTATCCCTATCTAGTGAAATAGCAACATATTATTTTCAGAGAAGTCCTGAACACATATTTTCAAACATCATAATGCCTCTTGGGATGCAATGATAATTTTCAGAGATAAATTACATTAACATACACTATCATTAAAACACATATTTACACATCTCAAAAGAACTTTATAGTCCTGGAAAAAAATTTACACAGACCTTCAGAAATATTTGCTCTGAAAAAAAAAATCAGTGAACTTTACTTACTTGTATTGATCAGAAATTGATTTGACACACCAGGATGATCTACATCATGTATTGCACTAGCAAAAATTGCTGCAAGAATCTCCAAATCTGTAAACACAGCCTGGAAAATCAGATAATATCAATATTACTATTATATAAGAATATAAATAAAAAGTATTAATAAAATGACAAATGACTTCCTAGAATTTAAAAGGAAAACAAACCTTCAAATATGTTATCACCATGTATTATGAACAGACTTTTAGCTAATGAGGTACCTATAAACTTTTTAAGCATAATTCTGGAAGAAAATATTTCAACTTCATTATATCTGAGGATCATTATACTTTTTTAAAAATCAGAAAAAAAGAATGTCTTAATAAGACATGGGAAATTCTTTTCTTGGATCCAAATCAGGATTTCTCAGCCTCAGCACTGTTCACATTTTGTGTCAGGTCACACTATGTGTGATGATGTCCTGTACTGGTACATTATAGATACTTAGAAGAATTATTGGCTTGACCCATGACATGCCAGTAGCATATATAAACAAAAATGTGATAGTTTTGACAACCAAAAATTTCTCCAGGTATTCCAAGTGTCACTAGACGTTGAGGGAGTGGGGGGAAAAGGGGCAAGAAATCATCTACAGTTGAAAACCACTCATCCAAATGATGAGGTATTAACACAATTTCATGCTGAGAACAATGCAAACTATATCCAGAAAGAGAATCTTTCCAAAAATGATTAACACTTAGCAGAATAACATCTTAGGATTTAAAAAAAAATTAAAGTATTTTTTCCTAATAAATTCTATGGAAAATATCAATGCATTCACTGTTTACATTTTATAAATTAATCATTCTTTGAACTCTAACTTAAAAAGTCATCAAAATGAATTCCCAGAAAACAAACAAAAGTCCAGATGTGCATTATTACATGTCCACTGGGATCATTTCAAAAGAAGAAATATAAACAGATGAATCCCTAAATCTCTGACCCACTTTTACAGACAAATTCATCAAAGCTGCAACTGTTTTATTAACCACAACATTTCTCCCCTGTAAGTCAACATATTTCCAATAAAGCCAATTACTATGTGCATCACAAATTCCTCAGTTTGAAAGTTTAAGACACTCATGAATGGCAAGTTAGTGTTCTTAAGGTTTTTAAAAACAGATTTACCTCCAAAGCAGGTGTAGACAGTAGCACATGAGTGGACTGGACAACATCTGCAGCATGGATGTTGTTATGATAGGCCACATCAGCATGGTAATGGTCTTCAAGGGTCATAAGGTATGTAATTAGAGTGTCTACTGGAATTTTAAATGTTTTTAACAAATCCCGTTCCTGTAGGAGAAGATATCCTTGTAACATTTTTGTCTTTATATTTTTTTAAAAAATGTTTCACACAGAATGTTAAAACAAACAAACAACCCCCCCCCCGCCCTGCACACACACACACACACACACACACACAAACCCACCAGGGCTTCCTACAGATGACTCAGAAACAGAAATAGCACTTTCCCATGTTCAGTGAGAGAAGTGGAAATATTTGGGAAGATCGAGGAACTTACGGGACAATATCAGAGTTGAGTTGTCCTTCTGGAGGACAATACTGCTTTATCCAAACCTAAGGTCTCAGGAATGTACTGCCTACTATAAAAGCTTCAGTATCCCATGACCATGGAGGCACCAGCGCTGGAGCACCATTGCCTCATCCCCACCAGCTCCAACCTCATTCTAGAACTGGAGTTTCCCCTTCCAGTCCCAGTGTATCAGTAACAGACTCAAATTCTCATTTAAATCTCACTCTGAGCTAAGGCAAGGGCTCCACAAGAAAAAGTAGTGGATATGGAAAAGGTAGTAGCAGATTAAAGAAATTATGTTCTGAGGTTAGTCTGCAGAGAAGTTACTCATTTTTTAAAGTTAGCACTCCATTCCCTATGCAAGTCAGGGTCATGAAGATGAATCTTAAACTGTTGTTTTAATGAATTGCTTCATTCTCCCATATTACATCTTTTTCTTAGATGGAAAAAAAAAACAAAAATAAAATTTATTTGTGTTCTACCCACACTCCACATTTCTCTACCTTTATTTGTCCCTTGGAAAAGGAACAGATAAGGGAAAAGATACTATCAAAATGAACAACAACCAAAAAGAGTGAGGGGGGCTGGGGTTGTGGCTCAGTGGCACAGCATTTGCCTAGCATGTGGGAGACCCTGAGTTGATCCTTAGGACCACATAAAAATGAATAAACAAAATAAAGGTATTGTGTCCAACTACAACTAAAATATAAATACTTTAACAAAAAGGGTGAGTGATAAGGAAGACAAAATGCATACACTTTTCATAGACTCAACAGTCAGTCCCTGCACAAAAGAGATGTGATAGAACTGCTATACCTGAAATATGGTGTGCATGATAACAGTCAGAGGCCGGTTACCAGACAACTCAGCTATTCTGAAAACATGAAGACCCCATTTGTTCACATCTTCTAGTTCCTGGCATTGAAAAATGACACCAAATAATTAGAAAGTGGAAGAACATGAGGCAATAAAACACAAATATTTAAAAATCTAAAAAATTGTTAGATATTTTTAAACAATGACTCATTTTAAATATAAGCAATATACCATAAAAATAAAAGCAAACTTTAGGAAATTTTACTTAAATGTACTGAAAACAGAATAGCATTGCTTAGATTGTAATTCTGACAACACATCACGTTCACAGATTTTGAATATTTGAATATCAATCCCAAAGCATTTCTTCAATAGATAATATTTACTCACAGAAACTTAACTATTCTTGTACAACCCAGAAGAGATGATAGACTTCTAACTTCTTCAGACCAAAAATTAAATGAAGATGCAAAAAAGTAAGAAATGTGTACTAAACCACCTGTCTAAATCAACATATTAATAAATTCAAATAACTGAAAGAGCTTTATAAAGTGCTTTTCCATTTTCAAAACAAACTCATATAAATTAATGAACTTTTCCATCTATTTAAAAGAGAAGAAATCAAAATTCATGCAAAACATCACTGCATACTTATGATTACGCTCTCTGAAATTATCTTACCTTGGCCAGAACATCTTCTTGTTCTGTTTTAACTCCAAACCTTGGGATACTTGAATTAGTCAGACTAGAACTATGCATCAATTTCTTGACTCCACTGATCTGAGACATTGGCCTTTTCTTTTTCTCCTTTTCCTTCTGAGTTGGAGAAGGAATTTCCACTTCATGTTGCTTATCTTAAGAAATTTAGAAATTGTTCTATAATTATTATGAATTCTACTTTAAAAAAACACAACATGCATAATTAGGCAGCATATAATTAATCACTGGGAAATATTTACAAATTATACTTTTCTAATAGAGTTGAATATTCATAATTTGATGAAAACTTGATATCCTCACATACAAAATTAAGCAAATAAATTCCATAATAAACTAATTAATATCAAATGTGTCCAGTGGTTACTTCCTGATAGATCACCCAATGAAAAAAATCATGCAAGACTTAATCATGATAGCAGACTCACAGAAAGTACAATTCTTGATTATTTGCTCTGTTTACCAACTCCATTACTGTATGACAATAACCTAGAGGCTTGAAACTGCTCTTGCCAACTAAGGATTTTCATTTTCAACACATACTTTAAAATAATAAAAACTTCAAACACGAATGTAATAAAAATAGCAGTGTACAAATCTAACAGCTAATTAAAACCGATCAGAATATGGGAATTGAAGCAGCATTTTTTGAAAGAAAATATAGGTTTCCCCTTTATTTCCTGTTATTATAGAAATAAGCTTTCTAAGGAAAAAAAATTCAAAGGGAAGTAGTTCCTTTTGACATTTGACAAGATAAATTAAAAAAAATTGAAAATGGAAACAAGCATACTCAATGACTTGAATACCTCAGATCTTTTCTTTTTCTATACCACAGTGAGATAAGTTATGATGTAACCAAGTTTTATGGGACCCACAGAAAATTCCAATTATAAGTTATTAAGTGATTTTACATCAATGCTCTTTATCATTTTCTACAGTAAAATCAGATATCTTGGTACATTCATTCTTCCACTATTTCAAGCAGTCAGCAAACCTACCCATTCTTGTACATTGTAAACATTCATGTCTGTTCAGTAATGTGCCAATCAGCCATTAGAACAGTTTTGTTTTGAAAGTAAATTTAAATCAATGATTTGTTCAAATTACTGATTTTCACTTATTGCACTTTCTTTCTGCTGATGAGGTAGAGGGGCTGCCGCAGAACATCATACTTTCAGCTATTATTAGCACACTGTTCTTCAGCAGTTGCACTGTACTTGCTCACTAGATTGCCAGGCGTGGTATGCATTAGACAATCAAGTCATCAAGTACGGGACTATTTCTAATTTATCATTAAGTACCTAGTGCCTAGCCAGGGAAGCATTTAAGAAAAATTTGTCAAATGCATGCATAAATATCTTATAAAATACATTGTACTGTTCTGTATTATGAAAAAAACTGTCTAGGAATGTAGCTCAGTGGTAAAATGTTTGTATGTGTGAAGACCTGCATTTAATCCCTGGCACCACTGAGTAAATAAAAAATATTTACTTTGTTACCTTATATTCTAAGGCTTAGAAGTTTACAGTATCAAATTATTAAGATAATAAGTACAAACGGAATTTTTGACACTTATTTGGTTTCCAAAATGAGTTGGTGCTTCAATCCCTCTCCAAAACCCAACAAGCAAATAATTCAAAAGAAAAATTTTAAGCTGCATGGAGTTACTCTCACCTAAGAATGTGTTTGATATGTACTCCGACACTTGGTTTCCAGACCGGCTCATTTCAGAGAGATGGGTGAGCTCCCGATTAAGCATTCTTTTAAACTGAAAAACCAAAAGGTAAAATGAAATAACAGAAGAGGAAATTTTAAGTGAAATAACATAAGCGTATCCTGGGACACAGAAAGATACATCCTCAAAATTTTAAATTTTCTTGACAATTTAGAGGAGAACTCTTCAACAGAACCTTCAGCAATCATAGGAAAGAACCATAATCTGTGTCATTTGTGACAGTGGCTGCCAGGCACAGATGGCTGCCACACACTTGAAATGTGGTCAATGTGATCAAGAAACAGAATTTTGAATTTCATATAATTACTCTCAATTTAAATAGTGTGTGGCTGGTGGCTATGACATTGAATAGCTCAGATTTTGACAATCAATGACAATAGTAAAAACAATTATACACTTTAATGTATTATTAGTATTTAGATAAAAATATGATTTATAAGCACACAAAAGTGTTTTCACATGACTAAGCATGGTATATTTTTATCATTTGGTTTATCATTACCAGAAATGAATATATAAATAATATTGGTCAAAGGTTAAAATCTGATATTTTACCCCAAAGAAAACTTTAATAGATTTGAGTACTCTTGGGGAACTGAGGAAAAATAAAACTTAAATAAACACTACATAATATATTCTTTAAATTTTTTTTTTCAAGTAAAAAGTACAAGGCTTTTGGTTCTCAGCATTCACAGAATTTGCCAACCCAATTCCCAAGTCATGAAACAAACAAACAAACAAACAAAAACCCCATAAATTTTCATTATTGTTATTTTATTACTTTGCAACTTATTTTACTAAAGCTACAGTGCTTGTTTTATCCGAAGACATCATGCGGCATTGCCAACATTTTCAAAGATTTGATGCTTCCCTGCACATCCGCTGCTTTTTTAAAAAAAATCTTTAATAAAATGTTTTAATTCTTTTATACTTAAACACATTTAAATTTTATCTAATCATGCATGCTCAACAGTCATACATGGCTAGTGGCTAATGTACAACTTAGAGATTTCAAAATGCATCCTTGGTTTATCACAATCTAATATATATAATGCATTTACTACTTTCCAAAAAAAATGATAGAACCTTAAAAATTTATACTCTTCCTGTTTTTTATGTTTTTTCCTTGCAATTTACAAATATCATATCTATTATGCCCACTGTTTTTCAATTATATTTGGCCACCTACTTGCCATTTAATTTTAGCTCATCATTTCTTCCTGCCTCAGTTTTTTTTTCTTCTGTCAAATATTTGGTGATTGAAGAACTACTTATATATTTCTTTAAAGCAGGTGAATTAATGGCAAATTCTCTTATGTTTTCTCCTCTTCCTTGAAAGTATCTTTATTCATATTAGAAATTTTGAAGGTTAATTTTGCTAGGTAAAACGTTCTAAGTTGACATCTATTTAACTTCAGCCTTTTTGAGTTGTTATTCTGCCTTTAGCTTCCACTGTAATTATTTTGATTGCTTTTTCTTTAAGGGTATTGCTTGCTGTTGAATCTTGACATTAAGTCTATGGCCATACAACCTTGAACATGTCCAATCTCACCTGTATCTGAATGTTAAGATTTTCTTTTGCCACCATTTCTAAAAAGGTATTCTATTAGGATAGTAGATGTATTTATTCTTCCTTGAATACATCCTCTCGGGAGTTTAGGATATTTTGTATCTTTGCCTTAATGTCTTGTGTCAACAGTGAAGATATTCAGCTAGTAGTTAACACCTCAGATATTTCTTCTAATATATTTTCTCCTTTCTCCTTCCCTCCAATATGTGCCTCAAGTTTTATTATAGACACATTCTATATTATTTTTCCTTGTTGCTATTATTTTATATTTCTTTCTTTCTGTGTAAATATATTCTACTGACTTAGTTTCCTGTATACAATACTGTGCCATTTCTAATATGATCATAAACTCATTTAATCTTAATACCCATACATACAGCAACTCAATTTGTTGGAGTGCTATACCCTTAAGCATCTTTAGACACTTCTCTTGGCATTTTCATTGCCCTTAAGTCATCTCTTAACAAAGAATTGACAGTACTGACATAGTAGTTGCTTCTTAACATGTCTTCCTTTGACTTTGAAAACAGCCCAATTAGTCTTTTTAAATATGCTTTTAATATTTCTCTTAACATACAGAAACAATATGTTTTTCAATATATAAGGTAACTGCTATTAGAAACTTGACCAAAGCCAGATACATCACTCCTTATCTTTAGCAGCCTTTAAGTGGTTGAGCTTCACTAGAAATTCTCATTTAAGTCTGGAGAAGAGCAGTGAATTTATCTTTTAGAAATGTTTGAAATGCAATTATTCCTCAGTGTTGAATTAGCTTATTTAGAATGTTCAAAAAGTACTGCTTCTCTACATTATTGTTACAAAGATGACCTAACTCAATGTAGTTAAATCTCTCCAAAAGTCACTTATTGATCATCTAAATTAGGCATAAGGATTGAACTCTCCCTACTAAGCACTGCAGAAGGTCAGCACAACAACAAATCAATAACTGCTGGACACAGTCATGCATACTAGCACTCTCTGGATGTCAAAAACCAACTGGTCATGAAAAATACAAGTTATAGTTGTCAATTCAGAGGTCTAGGAACCTTATTCTCAAACCCAGGAACACAATGGTTACCTTCTTACTCTACTTTCTTTTTGTAACTTCCTGTTAATTATAAAATGCACATGTGATAGAAAACCCAGAATTCAATACAGAAGAAAGCAAGAAACCATGTAAACCCATTACTTAGAAATAATCACAATCAGTTATATTTTCTTCTATGCCCTTTTTTAACCTCTGTGAGATTTTTCAATTAAAAATTGGCATCATATAACATATAAAACATGGTTTCTTCTTGTATTCACTTAGCATGTTATAGTATCATCTACTAGAAAGGCCTTCTAAGAATATTCATAAGATGTTTGCAATACTGTTCAAATTTTTTTCTGTCCATCTTATTAAATTATGTATCCTTGAGTAAATTATGGGTTACTGATTAATTAAGCTAATGGAAAGTGTCTTGTATTCAGTCTGGCACATAACAGTGGCTTAACTTATTTGAGTTCTTTTTCCTAGCCCTCTTTTTGATACTCAGTTCCTATTTTTGTGTATTTTTTAATTGATATTAATTTTTATGATTGAAGAACATGCACTTGAAGGACTTGATTATAGTTATGACTAGCTAGCCCCCTCTTCATCCAATCTCATAAAAGAATTTAAGACATAGAGGAAACTATGTTCAAAAACATACTATATCATATATAATCTCACACAAGTTAGAGAGTGGTCAACACATCGTGCTTTACAGATGAATCCACCTTTGAAAACATCCATTAAATAGAAATACACACACACACATACACACACAAACACACACAAAAAGACAGTCTGCTATTAACATTTGAAGCATGCATTCAAGTAAGTATCTCTTTGACTAGACATTGTCCCTGTCATAAGCTGCAAGTTGCTATAATCACAAAGTCCTTTTATGTAAAAGGTGTGAAATAGGCAGTCTTTTCAGCCTCTGCCAGCCCCTCAGCAGTCCGTACAGGGAAGGTGTCCACCTGCCCTCTGTCAATGTAACTAAACACTAAATCTTCTGGGGCAAGTGGAAAAATTAGATGAGGATCCAGGTATTCACAGACCCATCTTCTAACTTGTGCACAAGCTCTAACTTAGAAGGAATATATTGTCATATGCACAAATAGAAAAATATTTGTTACCTGCAAATCTGGGACACAAATTACTGATGCATAATTTTTCTGGTGATTAAAATATATAATTCATCAAAATAGCCAGTTATTACAGATAAATAAAGCAAAAAATGCCAGAGAATCTATTGTGTAGACTGAATAAACGAGACTGCATATTCCATTGAATATTTCACATCACACATATTATGCCCAGACTATTCTTTTGTTTTTGTTCAAAACAGTGAGAATGCAGATCTGCATGGTGTGTTTTACATTTCAGAACTACAGTTCTCCGGTTTACATTCCCGATTGTATTTAAGTTCTATATTTAAGATTGTTAGGGCTGGGGCTGTAGACTAGTGGCAGAGTGCTTGCCTAGCATGTGTGAGGCACTGGGTTCAATCCTCAGCACCAAATAAAAATAAACAAATAAAGGCAATATGTCCATACACAACTACAAAAAAAAAAAAAACTTAAAAAAAAAAGATTAAGAAAACAAAATAAGACAAATTATGTCCATCTCATTCCACCATCCTTAACCTAAGTACATGTATGAAGATATGAATGGTGTGACTCCACTTTGTGTACAACCAGAGAAATGAAAAATTGTACTCTATATGTGTGCTATGAATTGAAATTCATTCTGCTGCCATGTATAAAAATTAGAATAAATAAATAAATTAAAGAAACAAAAATATAATTAAAATATTTTAAAATATAGTCCTCTGAAACCCTGAATCATGCCACTGTGCTACTGGATATATATATATATATATATATATATATATATATATATATATATATATATATATATATATATATATATTACATATCCTCCTAGTATACATTCAAGAAGGTGGTACAGCTCAAACAGAAAGAAAATGCTTATATTTAGCTATGATTTTCTGCTAAAAATTCATTTAATTTGCTGTTCTGTGACAAGTTTGGAATACATAAGTACTACTACTTAAATTTAAATTGGCTGCATAAAAATAAAATCTTCAAAATGCATAAGACCATGTCTGTATATTTAGATTCTTGGAGGTATTGTTCATACCCAAAATATAAACATGAAGCCTTTAAAAAATGTATCAAATATGAACTGGCTAAAAGCTAAGAGATAAATTGAGGAGTGAGAGGGATTATGGGTGTTTTGGGGGTTACTTTCTATACTTTTCTGTATTTAAAAAAAGTAGCCAAGAAATGCTTAGCAGAATCCACATAATGAAAATCGATATATTTAAAAACATTTTAAAAATCTGGACCATCCATAAATTTAAACATTGAAATGTTTTCCAAAAATTCAAGAAAATCTCAAAAGTAAAGG